ATAATGATAATCGATAAATGCGTTGGTAAGACCGGGGTCCTAACTGCCTCGGAGGTAACCGTGACAACATAGCTTGTTCCGACGAGGACCTAGGTATAGATACCACAGTCACGTTTTTTTTGTTTTAGCTAGCATCACAAAGCTGCCAACCCTGAATGCATCTGAGGCTCTTCGATAGCATACGTTTGGGTTTCTCTGTCGGTTGAGAAATGCCGTTAAAATATAAATAAAGTTAATCTACGAATAGTGAAATCTAGAATCGGCAATACACTGAATTAGGCTCCTTCTCTCTCTCTCTTGCCTTGACTATTGCCATCCCCGGTACACAGTCCTGTTTGTTATGCTATATGCATGGAGGCGCAATGAAACAGCTATTGAATCCACCAAACCAGCATACCGGTCGACCATATTGGGCACACATTGTCTGCGCGTTGGCTAATCCCGGTTGTCGGTTTTTGGATGTTCCACGCCGAATGGCTGCGATCTCTGCGGACGCCATTCGCATATCCAAATCTCGACCACATCGGGGTGCAAAACGTTACAAGCGACCTAGCAATGCACCACAGGATTCAGAGGAGGAGACAAAGCCCTCATACCCCAGAAAGGAAATCAGCCCCACTGTTCAGTTTTCAACACCCGGAGAGTTTACTACTCATGTGACCAGTAGTTGTGTGGATCGTGAGGTGACTGAAACAGAGGGTAGACAAGCGAATCCCAGTTTCCTGGATGTTCTCTTATCCGATACTCCGTTGGATGATTTATTCCCTGAAGTTACAAAATACTCTGAGGGACCGTAAGTTGCGACTTATCTTCTTTTTCCTGAGACTTCACATGCTCTCATTGTGGTTATCATGTTTAACCTTCTTACACAATACGATGATGAACGGTAGACAAAGTGAACCTCGTTTATACAAAAATTTGATGTTCAGTTATAGGAATTGGTAGCCTAAACAATGTGATCTATAGCGGAAAAATACATAGGTCTCAAGCAGTATCTGTATGATATTGGGCCAAACCAAAACCCATCTGCGTACCTCCAGAGATAGATACTGATACCTGGTCACACCAGCGAAGGCAACCTTGACCACACCTATTGTAATTCGGGGAATAACTCTTTTATAATTGCACATCGGAGAGTAATTCCTGAACTTCGTATCAAGTCATCTATCGTGTTTGTTCCGAGCTTTCTAATTCATTTAGTAATCAATTCAACATTTTACACACATGATATTCTTCTTTTTCCCACTATTTTGAGGGTGGTCTCTTCTTGGTTAAACGCTTGTACATAACTCACTAAAGCTTCAATGCAATAAAATCCAATGATGCCTCAAAGAATAGAGAACCATTTAGGGTTAAATCATTGACAGAAGGTGAATCCGGTTTGAAGTACAAAATTTGAGAGGTGTTCGCACTCAGAAGGGCGGGAGTCTAGGGAAGCGTTTCGTTAATTCCGGTAACGATTAAGGGGTGAGCGTAGGGATTTCAAATAGTGTAGCGAACCCAAACATGAAAAGATTCACCGGTGGTCCTTTTTAGCCTTCACGACCTATAGCTTTCAGGGTGTTTAGTGCGATCCAATGTGATTTCCGATGACTGCCGAGTGATAGTAGTAATAGAGTAATAGAGTAGTAGTAGTAATGTGGGACTAGTACCAGTTAATCACCGATGAAATGCGGTAAGCGGAAACCCGCGTTGGCAGTCACTGGAAGTCCTTCGTGTTTGGGGCGTGAAAGAAATTGGTCAGCAATGATAATTTCCATAACCTGAAAAATAACAAAAATGAGGGACATTGGACGCTGTACTTGAACTAGGGAAATTTCTAACGTTTTCCGAGGAGGCCAAGCCAAAATAAACGGTGAATCTGGGACACAATTTCTGTGTGATAGAATGCCGGCCACACTAGGTGGCTTGCTTATGTAAAGCTACTGCAGGGTTGGAAGGACGTATCCGATGGAAAAAGATGATAAGCATTGATGACCGTGAGCACACAAAGTAGATGGAGACAGTAGATGAAATTGTTTGAATTTATAGGCTAACTATCTGTTGTGTCCGGATCTCGTTTGATCACAATTTACACACAACAAGATATCACACGATGAC